GCTGTTGACGACGTCCGACTGTTGCGGCGAGGCATCGACGTGCGGCGAGCTGTGGCGGCGAGGCGACGTCCGGCAAAGCTTTTGTGGAGAGGCAACGTTGGGCTGTTGCGGCTGCTGGCGTTCGTCGAAGGGGCTACGGCTGGGCCGACGAGAATGAGGTTTGTGATGACAGTGTCGATCAAGGGGCGTAGCAGTAGCGACCGACGGCGGTGTGTGTGGAAGAAGGGTTGTGAGCAATTTAGTTTGTTTTTTTTTTGGTTAGAAATTTCAGATTTGTAGGGTATTTAATATATATACGACGTCGGCAACAATATAGCCGATGTCGTAAATCTTAAATATTTATTTTTTAATTTTTTTTATTAAAGTTACAGCGTCGGTTTTACATAGAACCGACGCCGTAACTTCAATAAAAAAGTTTAAAATTAATTCGATAACTATACGACGTCGGCTCATTTACGAGCCGACGTCGTATAATTTTTAATTTCTTTTTATTTTTAAATATAAATACAAAAAGCGTCGATTTTACTTAAAAACCGACGCCATATGTATTTATAAAAAAAAATAAAATTATTTTAAATTTTTAACGTCGGTTTTGTAAAGAACCGACGTTAAAAAAGGGCGACGTTGTAACCCATTTCTGTAGTAGTGGTAACATGTAGGAAAAGGGGGTCGTCGAAGTCATCACTGTGCTGACTGATCGGATTTTGAATCAGAATCTGATGTGTGTGAGTTCCGGCATGTTTTGCTTCGCCGGAATTGCTAGTACCCACAGGTTCCATCACCACTGCGGCAGCATAGCTTCTGGATCGCTTTGATACCATGTCGAATTCCTTTGATTAAGAGAGAAAAGATGAGAGAAAGGCTTCTTTGATTACTTAGAAGACTTCATTACACATTACAAGGAAAGGAACACACTAACTGTCTCAAGAAGAAGAAGAAAAACTCAGGGTAATAAACGAGCTTAACTAACCCTAACTAACAAGCTATGGAAAAGACAAAAAAGCCCCTGGCCGTTAAAACCGTTTATGTTGACTGTTGCTAGTTGACTCCAGACTCCACCCTGCTGGCTTGATTATCTGAATGATCAGCTGCTTCATCAAAATCTTGAGAAATTACATACATTTGACATAAAATGAAAGATATGTTCACAAAAATTTAGCATCTTTCGACTCACATATAATATAATAATTAGGCACATAAATCTATATGCAGCACTATTTTTAGCATATATAACCAATATATATAGCATCTATGGTTTAAGGATCAATGTTTTCATGTTTAAAAGGTGTATCAATGTATACCATTTTAATTAGCGAAACACTTCCACACTTAGCTTTTAGATATTTTAGTTTGGAGTATAACCATTCCAAAGTTCAAATAAAATTTTGTCTAGCGTTTTATATATGTATGTGAGACTTGATTAAGAATGTATGTGAAGAAAATAATCGTCCCAGACAAAAATTGTTGGATAGTTATGCTGTGGGCTCGTGCCCAGCGTGCTTCATGCGCACGGATAATGGTGCCGTCAGGCACCGTTATCTTCCTTTTTTTTTTTTTTTTTTTAAAAAAAATTTAATTTCAGATCGCTTCGTTATAGGAGTATATATTCACAGCTTTGTGTTCATAATTTCATAATTGTACATTCATAATTCCATAACTGTACATTCATAATTCTATAACTGTACATTCATAATTCCGTAACTGTACATTCATAATTCAATAACTGTAAATTCATAATTTTCGAAGCTCTATGTTCATAATTGTAAGTTCATAATGTCAGAGTTCTATGTTCATAATTTCATAACTGTACATTCATAATTCCATAACTGTACATTCATAATTTCATAACAGTACATTCATAATTCCATAACTGTACATTCATAATTCCATACTGTATATTCATAATTCCATACCGAACATTCATAATTTTCGAAGCTCTATGTTCATAATTGTAAGTTCATAATTCCATAACTATACATTCATAATTCTATAACTGTACATTCATAATGTCATAACTGTATATTCATAATTTCATAACGAATATGCCGTTAACGGCGTTTCGAACATTTTTTTTTTTTAATTAAAACAGTGAAAACGACGCCGTTTTAGCGCCGTGCGCACGTGCGCATAGCATAATTTGCCAAAATTGTTGGGCAAATCAAAACTCATCAACATTGTGCCCATAGTTTCTTTAAGTTTAATTCTTTTTTTTTTTTTGCTATTTCATTTTGTTGAATTGTGTAAGGAGTATAGCTTTCATGAATTATACCTTTAATTTCACAAATATTTTTATGTGAATTTGTTTTAGATCTTTTATCACAGTCAGACCTAAGTCTTTTGATTTGATTTTACGACTTAATTGATTTTCTATATTATTTTTTAAATAAGGAACTTTTATTACGTTCCACTTCATCTTTAAACCTTGAGAGAGATTTCACTAAACCATGAAAAGCGATTTATAAAGGTGATGTACCATTGTTTTCCACCTCTCTACTTTTGTATTCTTAAAATTTCCTAAGTAAATGTTATTTTAATCTAAATAACTTAATTAACATTTCTCAAAAAGACATTTTAATTACTATTTTAAGCGATTTTCGAACATATTTAACTTCTACACATATTTCACATTCGTTTAAACCACATTCTTTTAGACTAAGCACGAAATCCATGTATTTTAATTGTTTTAGTGAATTGAAACACACGTGCCCTATTCTATTATGCCACAAATTTATTCTCAATAAAATAAATAAAATTACGAGTTTTATTCATGTTTTTCATTCAACAAAAATAGTATCAAGGATAAACAAACCATTATTCAAATAATCACTCCCAACAAAATCCTCATTTTGGATTAGAATAAGTTTGTTAGGTCCAAAAATTAATTTTATCCTAGCTAGCTCATAAGTCATAATATTATGTAAAACCTTCTAAATAACACATTATTCAAAGTTAGAGTTATGTGAGGTTAACTTTAAAAAACGAATTTTTCTTTTTTTTCAAACACCCTCGGAACGGTTGGAGTTCCTCTAATGTCTTATATATCATGTTACGTATTTGTGCTTGAGTCGCATGCGATAGTTGAACCTATGACTTAGGCAACTTCTTAATAAGAATATTTGTTTGGAAGACATGATAAATCATACCTTTGACAAGCAAGCACATATATCACTAAATTTTCAAATTTATGGATTTAATTTATGATTGGCTTTGTATCAACTACACTAAGTCAAGCTAATTACCTGCGGCATATTTGTGCTTTCTTGCATTATCAAGTCCATATTTCTTTTGTAGAGTTAATTTCCCAAATAGTTTTGGCATATGTAATAAAAACATATAAATCAAGTAATTTATGGACCATGCTACTAAGAAGAATCCTCTAGTAATGTTATTATCTTTTTCGTATTTCCTAGTATACTCTTTTATAATAGGGTTTCATTTATCATCTTTAAGAGCAAGAGTTGATTATAGCACATTTAGTGGGGTCTTGTTAGTAAAATACTAGTGCGGGCAAACTACTAAAACAATTAGGCAAACCGCAACAAGTTAGAGTTGACAGTGTAAATACTATTGGGTGTACGTATATCGATCCGGGTAATACGGTCGTCCTTATAGTTGCGTATTAGTTCGTTGGTTTGTTAATGTAAGGGATTGAGCTCGGGATTAAGTGACAGTGAGTCAAAACTTAAAAGGTCCCGAGCATATAATAATTGCGTAGAGTCAACCAAAAGTCCTTCCCTCTCGTAGTTAATGCGGTATTTATATATAGGAGAGTTAGGGAACACGTGTCGGAAGCTCGGCATGTGCGACATGTGCTACCCATGCACATACAGGGCAGGTCAGAGGCTTCGCTAATTCCTCCACGTGTATCAAGGTTCTTGATGCCCTCGTTCCTCCGTAAATCGAGTTTGACTAAAGAAATGAGGCTCAAGGCTCTAAGTGGAGAAAGTCGATGGATTCCTCCTGACCTAAAATGATCGGAGCGATCCCAAGGCGGGAAACTGCTGCTTCTAACTAAGCCCCCGCTCGATCCTCTACGCAAGGTCGGATCGGTTAGCTCCAAGGTCGGCAAATGCTCAGGAACAATTCCTCTCAACGCCCCGCCCGTATACTGAGCAGGTATGCGATGCTTACAAGTACCAAGTTGGATAATATTCCCTATCAAGAGTATATATGAAAGAATTACATGGACTTTAGTTCAAGTTTTTTTAATTTAATACTATTTTTTTTCCAGTTCTTCCTTTTTGTCTTTTTAGATAATTTTTTAACTTTTGCTTGGTTGTTTGATTTAAAAGTAGAAAAGTGAAAAGTAAAATTAAAAAACAATAATAATATCTCATTTATTTTCTAAAAAACTGTCAAACATAACTAATATATCTATTTTGAAACAGGAGAGTACTAAAGAAAATAAAGTAACATTCTGTATATCATGACACATCTAATTAGATGTGACATAACAATTGAATGTTTGCAATAATACAATACAACATTCAAACTTCAAAGGATAACACAATGAGATTATATTCAAATTTAGAGTAACAAATTACAATTAATTTTTTTTAATTACGATTAATTCTATGTTTTATTTTATTTGTGGGACGGGGAAATCCCAACAAGAACACTCAGCTACTACTTCGCCGTCGAGGAGCCCCCATGGAGTCGTCATCTCGTCGACAAGCAACGCAACAATCTCAGCCTTTGGACTAGCCAAAAGACACAGGCCCCGGTCACCCTTGAGAAGAGCCAAATACCCAGTTCCTGTGAATACAATGTGCTTGCTTGTCTCAAGAAAAAAAATCCATTTTTTAAAAAAAACTTCAAATTATATTTCTTTAAATAGTGAACAAAGCAATTTTTTAAAGGAAAATGTTATATTCCCCTTCAAAATTTTTCAGCGCACTACAAGTCAATTATGTAAAAGTATACCCAAAATAAAAACAAAAACATATTTCTTCCAAATAAATAAATAAATGAAGCTTTAATGCCCGTAGCATTATCCTATATGGCATTGATTGTGATGGCAAAGACCTATTTATTGTAGTAAAATTATTCATACAAAATTGGATTTATTGTTGCACATACAAGCTGGTTATACCTCCAAGAGCTGCAAATGTTACAAGGTTACCTACATGGTAGATTGAGGTTGTCGTGATAAAATACACCTTTAAACTTCAACCAAAAACAAACAAAGATAGATATATAGAGTAAAAGACTCTTCCGATCTTCTCCAAGTCTTGCCGCAAGAAGTGGAATCAAAACTGCATGCATGCCACCCATAATACAACTCCAGAGACAGTAGTATTTAGGGTTAGTTTTGCTTAACATTATATCTCCATCTCACGACCCTACTCCGGTAACTTCAAACGACTGAAGAGCACAAGAAAGCTGTGCTCCGGAATGACATAGAGAAACCCAAGGTCTGCACCTTTGATATGTGGCCCGACACCCTATGCCAAGTTTAATAATTGCGGTTCATTTAACATGCAACTTCAATAACACCAAAATCATATTCTAGGTTCTTAGATTACCTTGCCATTGAGTTGCAGCAACTCGCCCTCAACCCACTTGGGATTTTTGAACCCATATTCTGCTATTCTCCCTTGACCTTTGTAGCTTGCAACCTACAAATTCAAAGGCAAAAGGACACACTTGAAATATGTAAGGCAATTCAAAACTGTGGCCCTGTTTGGTAAAATAGTTAGTCTATCAGTAAATTTTGGCTTATTTGACCACTATTAGCTATTTGACTTGGTTAAACAATCAATATGAGTGTTTGATTAATTAGCTTTTTGTAACAATTTTTTGCTCCAAAATGCTAAAATTAAAAAAGTTAATCAGAGTAGCTTTTTCGATTAGCTTTTTGAGAAAGTCATTTGTATGTAATCAGCTAACAGCTAACAGATAATTTACCAAACACTTTTCTACAATCAGCTAATGTTATCAACTAGTTAAACCCACTAACCAAATCAACTAACAACCATTTACCAAACACCCCTAGTATATTTTCAATGCCTATTGTCCATCGACTTCTACAGCCAGGTATAGCTAAACAACTTCTACAAATTCATTTGTCAGTTGGCTCCAAACAGAAGTTCTATTTTGTGGAAGTTATGCAAACATTCAATTCATTGACCTTTCCTAGTACACACACGCAACCCTTTGTTGACCCAATGGAACCTTAAGAATGAAACTCAAACATACACTACACTGACTTAACAAGTCTCTAAGAAATTCAGATGTTGCAGTATCAGTCTTGTTTCAGAATTATTATAACAAGCGCAAAGAATTTAGTTTAACTCTCCAAAGATGCAGCTCTGAGATTTGAAGGATTCAGTCTAGTACTGTAATGTAATATTCACAGCTTTAAGAAATGCACTTCCTTTCTCCACAAATAGGACTTGGGAGAACCCGACAAATTTAAAAGAATAAAAGAATAGAGGTCAAATAGGCCCATCTACCCATAGCGAAAATCTAATTGGGCCACCAAATTGAAAACATGTAATTGTACCACTTTAGTGCTAAAATTCATACTATTGAGATAATTAGCAGGCTACTTTTTTGGTCATTGCCAATAAGTCATACATGGATTTTTTTTTCCTACGTGGTGCTGATGTGACACTTATGTAGATTAAAAGTAATAATAAAATGATCTTTTTTAATACTACTCTATACTACTATTCTTCATCTTTGGCAGCTGTTGACCACCTCCATCCCGTGCTCTATGTACAGATCTGTATGAAGCTTTGTCTCAAATATGAAACGGAGCCAAAGAGCTCCCTACATGTCAGATTTGAGACAAGAGAGCTTTTTCTTAGGTATAAGATGAATAAGTGCATCTTAGACAAAGCTCTCTTTTAGTGGGTGATGAAGGTGAGGGAGCCTTTGTGGCCCAAAATTCAAGCAGCGATGGAACTTTGAAAGGCAGACACCAGCTCTTCTTCTCCACATCTTAAATAATCGGCTACGATTTTTCACTAAAAAATTATGATCACCAAACCACCGATAGTTACTAGGGTTGACCACCTAATTAGCTTGATTGCACAATTTTGGAGTGTTAAATGGTTCAATTGCAGACGGTTTAAATTTCATGGCCAAACATCATTTTCGCTACAAGTAGAGGGGTGGGGTGTATTTGACCCTAATCCAAAACCATAAAAGCCACCAAAGGAAGGCTTTTTATCCTTTCATCCACTCTTGCTTACTAATCTAGTTTGTACAGTTATTTCTTAAGAGTTGAAGAGAGAAGGATCTTATCTAAGGGATAGCAGCACACTGCAAAACCACACACAGACATAAACAGTAACCTTCGATATACTAAACAAGCACAGGAAAGATTAGATTAGAGTGAAAAGTATTTACCACTCCCAGCTCATCTGGATACATCCCTTTGTTAGTAAATCGATTTCCTTTTCCGATTTTAGCACGGAATGTCACCTGATAAACCAAATTCCTTTATTATCATTCAGTAGACAAACATGAAACATTCACCACAAACTACAATTTTAGTGAACCTGGCCAGCTGGAACGTTCATATCGCCTGTCAGTTTTACTGCTTCGACATACTCAAAGAACTCCATACCAGAGGATTTCTCTTCATCGCGAACATTCCAGTTCCCATATTTACGCTTTAATTGCACAACCTCAGTACCATAAGGTCCAAATGCACCTACATATAGGCCTAAACCAACCAAGAAACAAGTTAAATCCTCAATAAATTTCAAAAGTAATTAACAGCAAAGCTTTTGATAGTAAGAGTTGTGTGCAAATTTGTAAATATAAGTGTATGAGTTAAGGCATATGGTCTGTCTTTATGTGTGTACACATGAATGAAGGAATCGAGGAAAGAGAATGCTGACCATCAAAAGGATCTAAATCACTGCCAGAAGTGGTAATCCTGGTAAAATTTGTGTATTCAGATAATTTATCCCGCTTCTTCGCCTGACTAACAACAAGCTTTAGTATTTCTCTCACATTTTTTGAGATCTGCAAATGTTGTAGCTTAGAAAAATTAATAAATAGGCAAAGGTCATGCTTGGATACAAATTACAAACTATTTCTTTTGTTTGATTTGCTTCATATAAAAGTCATATTATTTTTATAGGTGCAATCTAATCATTATTATTATCCAATCATTCCCTTTAAACCAGGTACAAGGTCCAAAGAGTAAGAGTGCCAAAAAAAAAAAAAAAAAAAAAAAAAAAAAAAAAAACAAATCCCTATCCTCCCACCTCTTCTCTTATATTTTGCATTAAATCTTAAAGCCATATTTATAAACAGTGGCAAGAAAAATTTAGGGACTGGATACATAACCTTTGAGGAAACTTTATCAGAACTTAGAAAAACCTTAGCCACATCAGGAGGCATAAGTTCTGAAACACTTTGGGCTGCTATAGCTGCCACACCAACTGCAGATTCAGAATTTTCTACGCTATCGTGATCTTGATATGTCTTTGGAAGGTGAAACACAAAAGAATCCTTTGCCAAATCCTTAATTTCCGCCTGTATGCGAATAAATTCATCTTTTGTTGGATTATCTTCTTTATTATGTAAAACCCCGCCAACAAAAAGTTTCATATCTTGACTCTTTTCATCTTCAGCTGTGCTGCTCTCTCCTCCCACAGAAATTTGATCATGATGGTTGTCGTCAAGATCACTAGTTTCAGCACCTTCATCCTCACTGTATTCACCGGAAATAGTACCATCATTGTCTTCTTTACTGTTTTCACTGTCATCATCCACTACTTGCCTCACAGAATCACCATCCTCTATTACTTCTTCGGAAACATTAAGTTTCATAACTTTCACTTTCAAATCAGGGATTTTATCTTTAAGAAAATTTATCACACTTTTTATTCCCTCCTCGGCAGCTTCCTCAACATCCATGCTTTTACCTTTGCTTCTTTCTGTTTCATCTTCATTGACCTTAACATCAATCACAGATGCATTCTCAAGTTCAGCAGTCGAAGGTCTCACTGATTTTGAGTCAGATGAAGTTGAATTAGCTTTAGTTGGTTTGGTTCGTTTCAAGAATACCACCTGAAAAGAAGGTCAATGAGAAGCAGCAATAGAAAAACGGAAGGTGAATATCTCAACAGTGGTGTTGCTTTTACATCACCTGCATGTTGTAAGAATTGTTAGCTTCTTTGACAACATAAATCTCAAACAGTGGTGTTCCAGGAGAAGCATTGACCAACTGCCTGCAATTAACCAGCACTACGTCTGTTATTGTATTTCCAGAAATGACAAAAGATTATCACATGAGAAGAAAGATTACAGTCTCTATTTCGGTTCTCTCATTATTACCTTGGGGTATAAGTCCTGCCAATAAACCTGCCCATCCCAGGAGTTATACGTACTAATCTACCAAATAGATCACCAGAATCCTTTGAATAGCCAACCCACCAACCAACCTGCAGCAAGAATAAGGATTTAAGGCCAGAAGGGTGTTTCCATTTCTTTGTTTATTTTCAACTCACAAATGTATGGGAACCTAAGCTAGAGAGCTAATATTGCAAAAGCAAACAAGTAAGCTATTAAAGAAGACATCACTCCTGAAGTCCAAGGGACAATAATAACTTGGGTGCTTCTTTTTTGCCATATTTTTCTGGTAAAAAAATGATTTTCATTGAATTTGTTGATCAGCAACTCTAATTATGATATCAACTACTCTTTCAAATTTTGAAAACTTAATAAAAATAGAAGTTAGTACAATACATTATTAAAATTAGGATAACTCTTCGGTACAAGGGTAGCTCCACTGGTATGTACTACACTACTACTCATTAACTGTTGATCAATACCCGCATCTTTGTCATGTCCAAGTACCCATAGCCACTCTTCTAGCCATGTCCATGTATCCTTCCATTCATATTTTGACAAATTCAGCTTCTAGATTCATACCACACTTGAGAGTGTGTAACCTAGATTATGCTTTTATATACTTGATATATCCCATATTTTTATAACACTTCAATTTTGGTATGTCCTATTAACATTGTCTTCTTAGAAAATTTACTATTTTGTACTAACATTTTTCTATAATGCCCTTCTCATTTACAATTTACAGAAGACAAAGGACCAATGGCCTACTTTAGTGAGCATTGCACTCATACCATATACTACTCACAAAAAAATTGTTGTCCATAAAATTTTGTGCCAAAGCATAAGTTGGCAAAAATAATGAGACAGAGGGAGTAGTGCTGTCCCTATAAGATTCTGAAACTCTCATTGACCAATTTACCCACAAGATAATGCAAGAAAGGTTGTATATTTTAGAATACGGTGGTTATTATAGTAAAAAAAAAAAAAAAATTATCAAGTTACACACACACAAAAATTTATTGTCATAACACATATTAACATGATGTAGATTCAAATTTTGAATATAAAGCTTTAAGAGTATAGGGAATGGATCCCACTTGGAGACTAGCAGGGGCATAGAGAATGAAACTTTCGGGAAAACAAGTAGATTACCAGACCACTTCCAGTGCTTCGGCATAATCTTGAAGCATCATGGTAACGCTCTTCAACTATTGCATTCTGTATAGTAGCAGAAGGAAAACATATATCATTTCCAGTAATTATTCCCAAAGAATAATTATGCCCTTTTTACTAGAATATCTACCTTCAATTGCAACATAATTTCCGCAATAGTATCCTTCGAAGTTGCTTCTGCAATGGCTGTTTTCAACTTTGCAGCTTCCAGGAAGTCTTCATTTTCTACCGCATCTTCTAGTTGAAACTGTAACAAGCATCAGAATAATATCAAAAAGTTTCCATTTACATCTTCACTTGTTCAATTTCCAACTACTAATCAAGTTAAAGAAAGGAATTGCAAGGGTACGTTACCACTTTACGCCAAAAGATTGTAACCCAAAATTTTCTTCTTGCACATGAAAATTATTAAATGTAGTAACAGTCCAAATTCTAAACTAGAGGTTGCAACATGAAGCACTTTCTCCGACCATTATAGTGTAAAACTCTTGGTAGCACAAAGTGCATAATGACCTTAGTTCTTATGTTAACAAATAATGTACCTAATACTTGGTCAACTTTAAAAACTTTATCCCAATCCACTTGAAGAATCTTTTATTTTGAAGAGATTGGATCATAATTGTGTATATTTGAGATCCAAAGTCCAAGATTAGTTAGATAGTGGAAGTGTTATTTTGTGAGGATTGTGTGATATCTCCTGGGTTTAAGCTCAATGGGTCTTCTAAAACCATTGTACAAAAATGATAAAATGATATTTTTAGGGGCAAAAAAATTATTAAGTTACAGTGTGAAGTAAGGAAGTAAGAAGTTTCGGAAGAATATCTTCTGAAGTGAGACCATGTTTTTTCCCATTTCAGGGAGCTTCGAAATTTCCAAATAGTCAGAACAGAAGATGGACCTTGGAAAATGATCTTTCAACCCCTCTTTTTGAGCTTATGCTCTGTTTTCTGTCCTAAGGCATCCTTTAAAAATGAACTGTACAGAAGGTGGACTTTGAAGATGATGAACTGAACCCTCCTTCCAAGTTTTGCCGGGGATATTCTGAAAATATCCATTTAACTGCCCAACTTCCTCACTTAATGCAATCCAACAATACTACAATAGAAAATCTTTTAAGTATTAACTCTCTTTACTTCCTATCTGTAAAAGCCCTAACTTACCTAAATTTTTTCAACACAAAAACTACAATACATTGCAAATCAACATCAAGCTCCTGAGTTTTCACTTCCTTCCTACTGAAAATTTTCATTGAAGCTTCTCCCTAAAATTTCCATTCTCCTATTCAAGGTTCCAATAACAAACACTTTGCAATTTATATTCTTCAATCTTTTGTATCCTTCCTAACATTTAACACACTCAGTCTATAGACTGTCACAGTTAAGCCTAATAAGTTTAAAACTTCACCTTTGAGGGGAGAGGGGGCACTGTGGCCATGGTTTCAAAGATCTTTAACCATTGGGCCATCCAATTGAGGGGAAATCTTCTCAATCTTTGACTCTTTGATAGTTAAAATATTTTCCCCCCTAAAATAAAGTTAAAACTTCTATCCTTTGTTTTTCAATTTCTTGATAGGTGATAGTTTAAAAATTTTCGAATATTATGATGGCAAAGTACAGTTTATGCACTAACTTCCTTTATGTTGCTCTATTGTATTTCTACATCCCTACTCATCATGCATTCTGCAATCAGCAAGTGACCTCTAGAACAAATCTATCAACAACAACAACAACAACAACAACAAAAAAAAAAAAAAAAAAAAAAAAAGTTAATATGAACTACCTTCATTTGTCTTCTTCAATAATGTACTAAAATCATATCACCTACCCTCATTTTGATAGTTTCAATACTAGTAGCCTCAGAAAACCTTGAATGTTAAAAGTAGCAGCTTCTATCTATATTGCATTCATATCTTAAGACTAAATTTGATTGATTAAAGCCAATCAATAAACAAACAAATCACTAAAAATCCGAAAACACAAAAACAAAAAAATACTTGCATATAAACAACCTCATAAACTAACACTTCCAGAATTTCAGCAAACTCAATAACTTCACAACAGACCAAAATAGTTACAATAAACAGCGCTGATTAATGATTATGAAAGAAAATACTACAGGATAAATTACACACACACACACACACAAAAATCTACTTCAGTGTATTAAAAGATTGACCTTAAGAACAGAAGCATAGCTCTCAGCTTGTTCCATCTCAGAGAAATGCCGAGTCCATCGATTCCAGTCCCAATTGGAGGAATCAGAAGCACTAGTATTATCGGAAGAGCAGCTAGTGTTGCTGCCGGGGACAATAGCAGAAGGAGAGGCCGGACCGTCGTCTTTGCTACATCGACAGCGGAGCTTCGAGTAAAGGCGGTCTCTGAGGAACAACAATTTATTGTTTCCATTGGGAAAAAGAAGAATCGGATTTCGCCGCGGAAAAACACGATGATCGTGTGAAGATGAAGATGAGGGAAAGGATGATGATGACGAAGAAGACGAAGACAAGGAAGGCCTGGGTTGACTGTGTGGTGCGTGCCAGGCGTTGGCAACCGCCATATTATCTTCTGTTCTCTCCTCTTTTCCTTCGCTTTTCTCTCTCTGCTTCTCACTGTGAGAATTCGGCTTTTCGTCTCCTTCGGGTTCGGGCATCAGCTATCCACAAAATTTTTATTTTACTTTATTTATTATTATTTTATTATTTTATATTTTACTTTTTGTTTTTGTTTTTTTTGTTTTGTTTTGTTTTGTTTTTTTTTTTTTTTGGAAAATTGTAATTTATGCCCCTCACAAATATGTCAATTATCAATGTCACCCCTGAATTATTAGTAGTGTAAATGTTGCCCCTCAATTATCAAAACGTAATATATATTGCCCCTCCCCTAACGCAATCATGAGACTCCGTTATAAGTTAGGGTTTAATAAGGTTAATTTGGTAATTTCCTTTTCCACTTTCTTTCCCTTTTCTCCTCCTGCACGTTGACTGGAGAACTCCGCCTCCTACTATCACCATCCAAGCCATTACCAGTTTCTGCGCCACCACCGGACACCCAAGCCATTACCAGTTTCTGCACCACCACCGCTACTCCACCGCCAATCGCGCCACCAATATTAGTGCCCACGCTAACCCCAACTCCCGTAAAGCACCATAAAAAGAAGTGGAGACACAGGTACAAGCACCACCACACTCCGGCACCAACACCAGCCGTGAAAAGCCCGCCAGCACAACCAACAATACAATAATCTATGGACATAACACTTGTCCCTCCACATCTCTTAATATTAAGAAAAACAGTCAAATCCAAGAAAGTTTAACATGTAGAAATGCAGCGAACTGAGAAAAAGTTGAAGCCTACCTTCAGGGCAAGAGTATCCATGTCTGCTCTTAAAGCAACAAGGGGGGGAGGGGGGGAGGGGGGGGGGGGGTTCCCGAACCAACGAATCCAACAACCCCCGTTCCTGCAAATGGGTGCTTGTAAGGAATCCCCAATTCATCCAATTTTTTCCCTAATAAGCTTACTGTTGTCAAATTCCTCAAACTTCAACTCAGGATTTTCGTGTATCTTCCTCCTCGTCCCAACTATCTAATCGGAAACCTCGGTTTTCTTGGCAAAATTAAGGAAATATGGGGGATGGCTTCAGGTGTAAACGAAGAATCTGACAAAACTACGGGAGAAAAAAAAAAGAAGCAAAAATCAAGAGGGAGAAGCTCATGATTTCTATTGATTTGGGAAGAGATAAGATTAAGAAAAGTATGTAAAGGGGAGAAGTGCGATTGAGTGAGGGCAGTGAGTTACCATGCTTGAGAATGTGAGATGAGAAAGATGAATGAAACAATGTCAGCATTAAGAGGTCGTTCCGGTATCAAACGATGGAAGCTCGGCAGAGGGCGGCGACGTTGGAGGGTCAGAGGGGTTGAGATAATTCAGAGAGAGCGTTCTGATTTTCTATTTTCATTTTTATTTTTATTAATTTTTATAGTCAATAAAAAATAAGTGGGAATTGAAAATTACCAAAATAACATTAATAAACGGTACTTTATAACGAAATCTCACCGTTCCGTTAGGGGAGGGGCAATATATATAACATTTTAATAATTAAGGGGTGACATTTACACCACTAATAATTCAGGGGTGACATTGATAATTGGCATATTTGTGAGGGGCATAAATTACAATTTTCCCTTTTTTTTGTGTGTGTCTGCCTCAGAGAATTATTCACAATTCCTATTCTTTTACGGAGTATATGCTTTTTTTTTTTCTCAGTCCCCTCCTACCATTATTTATTTTTTTGAAATAATACTTTATTTTACCTGTTATGTTTATTATTATATTTATTATTAACAGTTAAAATTATAACCTCCTTTCAAAAAAAATTGTTAAAAATTATAACATAATTTTGTGTGACTCATGTGATATTGTATATTGAAATTAGTATAGAGAAGAAGAGAGAGGGAGAGAGAAAGAGTTGGTTGAATACATGAATTCAGAATCTCATTCTCATTAGGTAACCGTTGATATATATATATATATATATATATATATATATATATATATATATATATATATACAAGTATATTATGGGAAAACTGTATCCAATCAGGGAAGAGAAAACCTAGAATAATGGCCACAAATAGTTATATTTGCAACACTCCCCCATTGATCATTGTCATACTATATTCATATCTTATTAAAAGCCTTGCTAGAAAAAATCATGTACAAAAAACCTAGTCGGGAAAAAAAAAGTACATTGTGTATTTCAAAACATGTGTTATACGGATTACCTCATTGAAACCTTAGGCTAGGAAAACCTAGTGGAAAAAAACTTAGCTAAGAGAAAAAAAGTACAACCATATATAAATCAATCATAAACATTCAAGGCATAGACCATGTTTGGCAGAGCTTATTTAGAAGCTTATAACTTATTTTAAGCTACTAATAAGCTATAACTTTGTTTGGTAATGTTCCTAAAATAAGCTCCTAGCTTCCTAACTTTTTTTCCCATCTTTATTCTTATTATTTTAAATAAATGACATAATTTACCCTTCCCAATTAAAACCCTTTTCTCTTCTCCTTTATCCGCAACTTTCACCACAAATATTATTATTATTATTATTATTATTATTATTATTATTATTATTATTATTATTATTATTATTATTATTATTATTATTATTATTATTATTATTATTATATTTGCATCAATATTGCTGCTTCATTATGAGATTCTAGATTATGACTATGCTAATAGTTTTTTTTTTTCAAAATGTTAATTTTTTTTAAAGACAAAATGCTAAAATTTAATATGTAAGCAAACTAATTTAAATTTTATGAATGTTGGAAAAAATAGCTAAAAATGGCATAAAATGGCATGTTAAGTGGCTATTTTGTGGTACAATTATCAGTGGGGTCCACTTCCGATTTGGGTCGGGTTAAAGTGGATTCGGATTCTTCGTAGTGAGACGAAGAGATTGATATATTGTACGCTCAAAACGGATAATGGGTGAATGAGATATTGATTCTCAAAGTAGACCCATTTGAGTTGGAAAATGAAGGGAAAAAATGAGCTTTTGTCTCACATTGCTTTGGAATGAAGATTTCCCCCCCCCCCCCCCCCCCTTATATACAAGAGCTCTTTTGAAGCTTGTAGAATTGTATAGCATAGAGGCTCTCTCGCGCGGGATGGGGGGGGGGGGGGTGCAAATCAAATTCCAACTAGCAGAGCTTGGAAAAGGCTTGATTCAAGCCCGAGCTCGTGTGCGCCGGCACCTTGTGTGCGTTCGGTATCATTTTCCACTTGGTTCGGCCAGAACCGAATCGAGAGGACAACTCTCGTGCAACAGAGTCCACGAGAGGTGCAAGGACCGAAACTGGATGAGGTCGAAAGTTGAGACCGAACCCTGTACGCTAACGGTCAGGAACCCGAAAGTTCTGACTGTTGAGGGGATTGAATTCATCGGTTACGGAATTAATTGTCTATTAATTCCAATTTTGAATTCTGAATTCAATTCCCATGTAGTGGCCTGCTGTTATAGCTGTTGGAAGGCAGCTTTAATGTCATTTTTAATTGCCATAATAAAGGCTATTGGCTCCTTCAACCCTATATAAGAGAGGGTAGAGGCAGTAGAGTTTTATACACAGAAACATAGAACACGAAAGTTCATTTTTTCAGCTTCAAAACATCTCTGCTTCTACTCTTTCTTGGCCTACTGTGTTCATAGCCATTGTCTTGCTCGTCGGATTCCTTGTTTGAGTGCTCAAACATTGAATCATTAACAAGTTTTATCCTGGGAAGCCTAGGCCACAACGCTCCTAGCATCTTTGGGAGGTGGCAAATAAGGTTTTAAGGAAAGAGTGCTCACTTGACTCTTGCAAAAACCCAACACCAAACACTAGCCACTTTTCTTCATCTTTTCTTCCCTTCTTTCCAGAAAATAATAATCTTATTTTTTGATTATTATTTGTGTTTTCTACCAACGGTACCAACAATGAATATGTCCTTTTTAGTCCTTTTACATTTATCAGCTTATCAAAAATCTAAATTCACCAAACACTTTCAATCATAATAGCTAGCTTAACAGCTCTTCAGTTTTGAGCTTCGAGCTTATAGTTTTTCAGCTTTTCATCTTTCAGCACATTTTCAGCTTTCAGCTCCTAGCTCCTAGCTTATAACTTTTCAGCTAAGTTTGCCAAACAGAGCCATAATCTTCAAAATTTTTGGAGTTTGTCTATTTAAATATTTATTTGCAACTTTCCCCCTTTGATATTACTATATCATTACTCATGCCTAGTTAAAACCTCACCAGAAAAATCCAATGCGAATAAACCTAGTGAGGAAAATAGTACATGATATGTAATGAATTCATGTGTTTCACTAGTTGCCTCATTAAAAACATTTAATTAATGAAATTATATAAAAATCCAATCAAAAGAAAAGCAGTACAGTTGTGGATCTTCAGATCCAATCATCAAGATTATTCAAGTCCAATCTTCAAGATTGATTCAAGTCTCATCTACATGATTGATTCAAGTTCAGTCTACATGATTTATTCAACTCCAATCTACATAGTTGGTTCAAGTGAATGACACTCCCCCTAAATATAATAATCTTCACAATCTAAACGTTCTAATATTAAAGCATTGTTTCAAAAACAGTGTAGAAACAAGATATGGTACAATCTTCAAGATTGTCACTATAGTGAACATTATGTATAACGATCTCGTAACTCTTCTAGCTAGAGAACAATTTTCATAACAATCTCATGATTCTTCTGGAGTTCACGTGGGTTGCATCTTGACATTATATATGCTTTGTCAAATATTCTCAAAAATACACATTTATCATTTGTGCAGCACAAGCTTGATTGTTCTCATATAGGACATTGTTGGTAATTTCATTACATAACCAGTTTGAGACTTGGTATCATGGGGATCAAACAAATAGTCAGTACCTAGAGGATATGTTAAGCACTATTTCAATATTTATTGTAGAAGAAGCATTAAATGTCGATAGCAATTTCATTGCAAATATAATATTAGGCCTTATGTGATTGCAGAATTCCTGGTTTTATAATAGTGCTTCAATAGCAAAGTAATGGACTTTTAGTCCCAAAATATCTACATTATCATCTTCAAGTCTAAATGGTCCTTTATCTACTT